TGATGTACTTTAGGTTATAATAAACCGTGATATCTCACGTTAGGTTTACAGTATCCTAACAATTAGACTGTGATGTACTTTAGGTTATAATAAACCGTGATATCTCACTTTAGGTTTACAGTATCCTAACAATTAGACTGTGATGTACTTTAGGTTATAATAAACCGTGATATCTCACTTTAGGTTTACAGTATCCTAACAATTAGACCGTAAGTCAGTCTTAATTCTTTCATTCTTTATGAAGCTTTTATAATTAGGTCCAATGACACAAAACATTAGTAATAATAACCAATCAATGTCACCGTTTATTCGTCCTTCTTATTTTTTGACCAATCAACGTAGCATTAAAAATCTACTTTATATCCCCTTATTATTTATTAACCAATCAATGTAACTGTAAGTCTACTTTACATTACATTGTTTGTTATATACATTTTCATATTTATATTTATTATGCTCTTTGTGACACACAGTGATTCAATGCTGAAATCCGGTGATCGATTCCAGAAGGCTGATTGTGTGGCTTTATTTAGAAAAAGAACACATATATGTAATTCACAATATAACTTTAAATCAACATTTTTGACTGTAAAGAATAAACATTCATCAAGTATTATTACAAACCATTAACTATTGTAGTTCTATCCAGAATGTAAACAATAGTCAGTTTTAAATCTTTAGGATACAGCAACATATAACTTTAGGGTTCAAGTTTCACTCTTTTAGTTTTAACATAAAATTTATTAATAACAACCAATCAAATTCATCGTACAAATTTAGTTTATTCGCCCTTGTTATTAATTGACCAATCAATGCAGCTGTACAAAACTACTTTATTTGCTCTTATTTATTGGCCAATCGCAATCGCTATAGAAATCCATTTTATTCGCCCTTGTTATTTCGCCCTTGTTATTTATTGACCAATCAACGTAGCTCTACAAATGTACTTTCTTCACTTTAGTTGTTTAATGTCATTTTCTTTAACCACCATAATCTCTAAAAATTATCAACAAGTCAAGATAGGGGTGAATAGAAACAACTTAAATTTCTGACCACCCTTGGGGTATTAAACCTAAATACTTACCACGATTGGTGTAGCTTGAATTTCACGTGGGATATCTGCGCTAGTCGTCCCTAATTTAGCAATGATAGACTAGAGGGAAGGAAGTTATATAAACACCACCCATCTCCAACTTTTGGGCTACTCCTTTACCGAAGAAAAGCGAAATTGATCGTCACATTATAACGCTGAAAAGGCGGGCATGTCCGATGTAACGGGGAATCGAACCCGCGACGCACAGATTGCTAGTCGAGCACCTTAACAATAAAATGGCATATTTCTAAAGCGATTTATATAGTCAAAACATACTGAAGTTTGTGTTTGAGGCTAAACTAATATGTTTGTTTACTTTTTCATGTTATTCATCCTCCATTTTATTTCAAGCTCCCACGTAAGGACACGAGATGATTGGCACCACGTCAATAATTCTGTACTTTATATTACATCTGGAGTTGATAACAGCTATAAATCTCGAAAAAGACGGAAGCGAGTCTCCTGTTATCAACACAGAGTCCGGCCTAGTTCGTGGATTGACCACAAACACTGCAAATGGAAAGACTGTAGACGTGTTCTGGGGAATTCCTTATGCAGAGCCACCTACTGGTCATTTAAGGTTTCAACGTCCTCAACACAAAGAACCTTGGGAGGGAGTTCTAAATGCTACGACCAAACCAAACTCTTGTGTCCAGATCAACCACGTTCCTCCAGAAAACTTCTCCGGAGATACTAGTTGGTTTATCAAGACTCCTTTAAGTGAGGACTGTTTGTATCTCAATATCTGGGTTCCACACCCCCAGCCACAGAATGCACCTGTCATGGTCTGGATTCACGGGGGTGGTTTCACTTCAGGTTCATCTACTCTGGATATTTATGATGGCGAAATATTATCCTCTGAGGAGAATGTCATCGTTGTTTCCATAAATTACCGTGTAGGAAGCTTGGGTTTCCTTTATTTCAACCGATCAGACGCGCCTGGTAACGTTGGACTTTTCGACCAACTCATGGCTTTGGAATGGATAAATAAGAATATTGTGTATTTTGGCGGTGACTCGGGAAAAGTGACGATTTTCGGAGAAAGTGCTGGAGCCAGTAGCGTGAGCTTACATCTTTTATCGCCTTTAAGCCAAGGTCTATTTAACAACGCAATAATGGAGAGTGGCTCAATATTGAACTCTTGGAGTTTACACGATCGTGAAGTTCTGATTGTTTCCTACTAAAAGATTTGGTCTCTTAGTAGTGTTTTCGTTCAGGAGTTTTTCCGGGACGTCCGATAGAAAATTTCCGTCAATAACAGGAGTGAAAGGAAAATTCAAGAACTTGATTCCGATCCACTCATTTTTTACTAGATCAAGTGGATCTGTGTTTCGAAGACATTCCATTGTGGAATCTAAATCCCTAGGATCGTGAGAACAATTTACAGCTTCTGCTAAAAGCACCCCTTGATTGATGGCAGCGAAGGATCTTTATTCTTGTTCTATGAATTTCCAGAAATATTCAAGAAAGAAGAAGAAGTTGGTGTCACTCGGAAGGAGTTTCATAGATTAGTGGAAAAAGTAGTTCACGACACAAATAATTTCCAGAGAAAAGCTATTGTTTTCCAATACACAGACTGGCTAGAAGAGGACAACATCTATAGAAACAGGGACATGTTGATTGACTTGGTGGGGGACAAGTTTATCACGTGCGATACTAATGAATTCGCCCATAAATACGCACAGCGAGGAAACGACGTCTTTATGTACTACTTTACTCACACACCTTCTGTTAGCTCTTGGCCCCGGTGGATGGGTACTACACATGGTGACGAAATATCCTTTGTGTTTGGAGCACCTTTAAACTCTCTTCTTGACTACAGCACCGAGGAGCAAGAACTTGCCCGAAGAATAATGAAACACTGGACAAATTTTGCTAGAACAGGGTAAGGACCGATTTCTGTTTATTTAATTTATATGTCAAGATAAATTGAACTCGTTGAACCTTCCATTAGATAAGATAATTAATTGGAAATTATTTGTCACTAATTCAATTAATGAACTTCCCTAGTGGCTAAGTGGTAAGCTTGAGGACTTCTAACGATGAAATTCGGGGTTCGATTTCTGTTTTGCTCTTAATCAAAACAAACAAGTAATTCATAATTAAAAAAACTAAACAAAAAGAGGACCTCTCAATTCAAGTAAAAAAATATATTTTCACATTATATGTATCATACGTATTTTAATTGCTTCAACCAAAACCTAGGCCTAGCATGGCTTTATCAACCAAAACCTAGGCCTAGCATGGCCTAATCAACCAAAACCTAGGCCTAGCATGGCCTAATCAACCAAAACCTAGGCCTGGCACGGCCTAATCAAACAAAACCTAGGCCTAGTATGACCTAATCAAACAAAACCTAGGCCTAGTATGACCTAATCAACCCAAACCTAGGCCTGTCATGGCCTAATCAACCGAAACCTAGGCCTAGCATGGCCTAATCAACCAAAACCTAGGCCTAGCATGGCCTAATCAACCAAAACCTAGACCTAGCATGGCCTAATCAACCAAAACCTAGGCCTAGCATGGCCTAATCAACCAAAGCCTAGGCCTAGCATGGCCTGATCAACCAAAACCTAGGCCTAGCATGGCCTGATCAACCAAAACCTAGGCCTGGCATGGCCTGATCAACCAAAACCTAGGCCTGGCATGGCCTAATCAACCAAAACCTAGGCCGAGCATGGCCTAATCAACCAAAACCTAGGCCGAGCATGGCCTAATCAACCAAAACCTAGGCCTGGCATGGCCAGGTGGTTAGGGGGCGCTGGACTCGCAATCTGCGGGTCGCGGGTTCGAATCGCGTCACACCAAACATGCTCGTCCTTTCAGCCGTGGGGGCGTTGTAATGTGACGGTTAATCCAACTATTCGTTGGTTAAAGAGTACCCCAAGAGTTGGCGGTGGGTGGTGATGACTGGCCGCCTTCC